ATGAACAGTTATATGGAAACAAGTTCAACAATCTAGAGGAGATGGACAAATTCCTACAACTCTACAATCACCCAAAGCTAGATAAAGAAGAAATAGAACACCTAAACAGACCAATTACAAGCAGCGAAATTGAAATGGTAATTAAAAACCTCCCCAAAAACAAAAGCCCAGGACCTGATGGATTTACAAATGAATTCTACCAAACATTCAGAGACGAATTAGTGCCTATCCTTCACAAACTCTTCCAAAAAATTGAGAAGGAAGGGACAATACCAAACACGTTCTATGAAGCCAATATTACACTAATACCAAAACCGAATAAGGACAACACAAAAAAGGAAAACTATAGGCCAATCTCCCTAATGAACACTGATGCAAAAATCCTCAATAAAATTTTAGCTATCAGAATCCAACAATGTATCCATAAGATAATTCACCACGACCAAGTTGGATTCATTCCAGGGGCACAAGGATGGTTTAACATCCGAAAATCAATCAACGTTATCCAACACATCAACAAAAAGAAATATAAAAACCATATGATAATATCAATAGATGCTGAGAAAGCTTTCGACAAAGTGCAACACCCATTCATGATAAAAGCCCTTGAAATTCTTGGGATACAAGGAACATACCTCAACATCATAAAGGCCATCTATGACAAGCCAACAGCCAGTATCATTCTCAATGGTGAAAAGCTGAAAGCAATTCCATTAAGATCTGGAACAAGACAAGGATGTCCACTCTCACCACTGCTTTTCAATATAATACTGGAAGTCCTAGCCAGAGCAATAAGACAAGAGAAAGACATCCAAGGAATCCAAATAGGAAAAGAAGAAGTCAAACTATCACTATTTGCAGATGATATGACAATATACATAGAGAACCCCAAAATCTCCACAGAAAAACTAATTCAACTCATCAATCAATTCAGTAAAGTGGCAGGATACAAAATCAACACGCAAAAGTCAGTAGCCTTCCTATACACAAACAATAAATCTGAAGAAGAAGAAATCAAAAAAACCACCCCTTTTATTATCGAAACAAAAAAAATCAAATATTTGGGAATAAATCTAACAAAAGAGGTAAAGGACCTATACAAAGAAAACTATAAAACACTGTTAAAAGAAATAGAAGAAGACACAAAGAAATGGAAAGACATCCCCTGCTCATGGATTGGAAGAATAAACATTATTAAAATGGCCATCCTACCAAAAGCAATATACAGATTCAATGCTATTCCAATCAAAATCTCAATGGCATTCTTCAAAGAAATAGAACAATTATTGATGAAATTCATATGGAATCACCAAAAACCCCGAATAGCCAAAGCTCTACTGAAAAAAAAAGAAGGAAATGGAGGCATCACACTCCCAGACTTCAAACTATACTACAAAGCCATAATCATCAAAACTGCATGGTATTGGAACAAGAACAGACATACAGACCAATGGAATCGAATAGAAAATCCAGAAATAAACCCACAGATTTATGGTCAACTAATCTTTGACAAAGGAGCAAAGAATATGCATTGGAGCAAAGAAAGTTTGTTCAATAAATGGTGCTGGGAAAACTGGGTCGCTACATGCAAAAGAATGAAGCTTGACCACTACCTCACACCATACACAAAAATCAACTCAAAATGGATTAAAGAACTAGACATAAGACCTGAAACCATAAAATACATAGAAGGAAATATAGGCGAAACACTACGGGATTTGCACAGCAAAGACATCTTTACAGACACATCACCCAAAGCAGTGATAGTGAAGAGAAAGATAAACAGCTGGGACTACATCAAATTAAAGAGCTTCTGCACAGCAAAAGAGACAATAACAAAAACAAAGAGAAACCCCACCAACTGGGAGAACATTTTTGCACACAACACTAATGATAAAGGACTGATCACAAAAATCTGCAAAGAGCTGATGAGACTCAGCAACAACAAAGAAAATAATCCAGTCAAAAAATGGGCAGAAGAGCTAAAAAGAAACTTCTCTGAAGAGGAAATGCAAATGGCCAACAGACATATGAAAAAATGTTCAACATCACTTGTAATCAGGGAAATGCAAATCAAAACTACCATGAGATACCATCTCACACCAGTGAGAATGGCACATATTAAAAAAACTAGCAACAACAAATGTTGGCGAGGATGTGGAGAAAAAGGAACTCTTGTGCACTGTTGGTGGGAGTGCAAACTGGTCCAACCACTATGGAGAGCTGTGTGGAGATTTCTGGACCTACTAAACATAGAGCTTCCATATGATCCAGCAATTCCACTCCTAGGTATTTACCCAAAGGACACAGAAACATCAATTCCAAAGAGCACCTGCAGTCCTATGTTTATAGCAGCACTGTTTACAATAGCTAAGCTTTGGAAACAACCCAAATGCCCAAAAATAGATGACTGGATCAAGAAGATGTGGTACATATATACCATGGAATATTACTCAGCATTCAAAAAAGATAAACACATGCAATTTGCAGCAACATGGATGGCACTGGAAGGGATCATGCTCAGCGAAATAAGCCAAAAAGAAAAAGAAAAATACCGGATGGTCTCACTCATAGCAGGAATCTAGAAAACTTAAATAAGGGACCAGGAAAATGAATATAAGAAAGTGAAAATCAAAATCAACAAAAAACTATGAACCAGAGACACTTTTTGGGGGGTGGGGGGCGGGAGGGGAAGGATTGGGGTCAGAATGGGGCGTTTGCAATTGTATGGGGGAATATAAAAATAAAATTTAATATTTAAAAAAAAAAAAAATAAAGTGAATAACAAAAAAAAAAAAAAAAAAAACTTTTTTATTACCTTTTTTAAGGTCTATAAATATACGACTCTAAGAAACTTTTCAAACTTTAAGAAACTTCTATGTCAAGCCATTTCTAAAATATATCTATTGGATAAAATAAAAAATATGTAAAAATGAGTTCAACCATACAGGATTTCAAAAATAGGTATGGAGATCCTTATCAAGAATCTGAGTTTACATACAACTGCTATTCTAATGTTTAATGCCTCCACAGTAAAATTAATAATTTCAGCATATCCTTTGGTGTGGTATTAGGAAAACCTTCAGTAATATCCCACACCTGGAGGGAGGTAAAACCCACACATATGAGTCCTTCAAATCCATGTAATAATATTTTCAAGACACTGCACTCCAAACCAGTTCATGACATATCCTTCACCGTGTGTGGGGACAGGAAAGGAGAAGTTTAGAGGGTCCAATCACTTATTTCAGTGTTGTGCACATCTATGCAATCAGATGAAGAAAAGATGGACAGTCTTTTGTATCAATAGTTTAGACAGAAATTATTATTTTACAGGCCTCCCTGGTGGCACTGGGGGTTAAGTCTCAGCCTGAGTTCTATCCCCAGCCAGGGAGCTGACCCACATATGGCGCAGCAGACCTCTCCTGTCTCACCCGCTGCTCCCCTTATCAGCATGTTTCAGTAGATCTGCCTGTTCTGTTCCCCACTCTCTCTCTGGTGAATCCCCTCACCCCACACATCTCTGGCCTACACCCCAGTTCTTCTACACAAAATAAATAAAATCTTGCTGCAGTTTCCTAAGTTCTTCTGTACTACTAAAAATCTCTTCCTTCTCTTGCTTCCAAAGATGACCTTTGCCAGAGTTTAGTTTTCCAATTACTTTTCTGTCTACACACTCTTAAAGCCATGCTCATTACTTTGATAATCAGCTCTTTTTTGATAGTAATAAATGTCTAAGCTTTCCTCTCTTCTCCAATCTTCAGTCCTATGTGTCTAAAGTCTCCTTTAGATTACCTCTTGAAATTCCCTAAGCACCTAAAACTCAAATGTTTAAACCAAACTTCTCTATCACCTTATGCTACATCAGACTCCATTCTTCCATAAAAGCAGGCTCAAAACTTTGGTAGGGTTTTTCTTACCTCCTCCTTTCCATTACTCCCTCAAAACTAAGTCTTATAATTCTCTAACCAAAGCCTCTTCTTTCTATTCTTCCTTCTCCTCTCAGTGCTACTGCCCTGCCTGAATACAGCCCAGCATTACCCTCACCTGAACCACTCCAATAACTACTTAGAGATTCAGTCCATCTTCCAGTGACCACCATTAATTTACCTAAAGCAATGTTCTAATAACATCCCTTTCATTGATCAAAACCTTTAAAAATTCCTTAGTTTATGTTTCTAAGGCCCAAGCTACCTCTTAGCATTATTTTACCACTTCTCTATGTTTCAACTCCTTCATATTTAAAGAATATAAGTACACAATAATTGGAAACTGAGAAGACTAGTTACTGCTACTCTGTACACATAAGAAACATTCCAATAGCATTTCCACTCAAAACAGAAGTGGGGAGTAAAGGGAAACACCCATTCTGGAAGCAGGTATCAGAATCTCCAAGTGTGTCCTGTGCTGACTGAAATATACTCCAGCACCTGCTGGAGATTTGATACTGCCACTCAGCTAAAGGGAAGGGAAAAAAAACTGTTTTATACAATAAAATTTTAGATGCTTCTACAGAATTGGATATAGCATTTCTTTATAGTCATTCCTTATATCTATAATGTCCTTTTCTTACAATCTCCAAATCCAACTATCAAATTCTAACTAACTTTCAGGCCTCACTTAAAACACAAAAAACTGAGACATGACTCAGTCAAGAAGTATTTTCCCCCTCTCAGAGCCTATCCTACTTTCAAGAATCTCAAGACATTCTTCATAAATCTCCTAGCATTTGTGCTCCTTATATCATGTCTCTGACTATGTTTTTACTTTGGAAAGTAGTTTGTAAGCTTAAGAAGACTGAAAAAGGACTGGTGATGGTTCACAGCCGAATGGGTGGTGGGAATTTCACAGGCACTATAACTGAGATAAAAATGCATACATTGTACAAAAATGAAAAATGATATAAAATTATATAAAATAAAAAAATTATTTAAAAAAGACCATAAGAATTTACAGAAAAATAAATGACTCAAACACCACCAGGTGATACTGCTACATACCTTGTAATAACATGCAAAAACTGTGGCGTAAGCACTGCCTGCTGAGATTTCTCAGGATACTGGTAGACTGACATTAATTCAACAGACTTGACAACCATGTAGAGATAGCCCACGTGAGGTAATGAAAAGAAACAAAAAAGACTCAGCAACTTTTCTTCCTGAGATGAATTTTTTCTATCAGAAGTAAAAGAACCTGTGTGGAAAAGAAAACACCACAAAATCACTAAATAAAGCAATCAATACCTTGACTTTTCTATGTAAAAATTCTGTGTGGTTAACCAGAGTTGCTAGGAGGGATTTGTTCTTAATAGAAGAATGACAATAAGAGATGAAAAAGGAACATAACATTGGTTATCTCAGTTAAAAAAAGGAGTAATACAATTAGAATATCATTTTGCAACTGCTAATAAACAGATTAGATAATAATCACCAGTGCCTATTAGCATCACAAAGGAATCAATCAGATAATAATACCTACCTCCTAAGAGAACTGAATGCTACTTGTGTTAATGAAATATAAACATTCAACACAATCAAGAGAAATACAGTGTGAGCTATATATGTAATTTAGGGTTTTCTATTAATCGCTTTTAAAAACGTTTAACAAGAAAAATACAAAATGTAGTAATAGATTTTAACTCAAGCATATGCAAAGATTTCAATAAGAAATAAAAAAAATAGTTATTTTATATTTGTTTTTGTTATACTAAGTGTTCAAGATCTACTGTTTGATTTACATTTATAGGACATCTCAATTCAGACTAATCACATTTTAAGCACTCAATTGCTACATGCTGCTACTTGCAACCATGCTGAACAGTGCAACTTCAGGTCTAACTACCAAATCACAGGCCAATACAGAAGATATAGGAACATGGTAAATGATATTGTGAGTATTCAATTAGTACAAACTAGTACAGTTTCTTGCTAACTAAACCATAATTAAAAGTGAAACAGGGGCCTCCCCTAGTGGCACAGCGGTTGAGCGCTGTGCTGCGAAGCTGCCCACAGCCTCTGCAGTGCCCGTTCAATCCCCGGCCACCGTGAGGGTCCCACATGGCGCGACAGACCTCTCCTGCCGCGTGCGCTGCTCCCCTCAGTAATGTATTTCATCGGTCTGCTTGTTCTGTTTCCCGCTCTGGCTCTAGTGAATTCTTTCACCCTCCCATGCTTCTGACTGTACCCAGTGCTTGTATAAATAAATAAATAAATAAATCTTAAAAAAAAAGCGAAACAGGCAGAACCTATACAGAACCTGTATTTCAAAAAAGATGTAAAAGACATAGCAATCAATCACAATGTATAAACCTTATTTGGAATCTTAAGAAAAAATTTTAGACAATCAGGGAAATTAACATGGCATTTGAAGACATCTATGTATTTTTTATTAATATGAACTGGCATTTGAGGTTCCTTTTAAAAATCCTTTTCTCTAGGGGCCTCCCCGGCGGCACAGCAGGTTGAGCACAGCGCTGTGAAGCTGTCCGCAGCATCTGCAGCATGGGTTCGATTCCCGGCCGGCCAGGGAGATTCCCACATGGCGTGGCAGACCTCTCCTGTCACGCCTGCTGCTCCCCTCAGCAGTGCTTTCGGTCTGTCTGCCTGTTCTGCTCCCCACTCTGTCTCTGGTGAATCCTCTCACCCTCCCGTGCCTCTGCTATTGTATAAATAAAAAATAAATCTTTTTAAAAAAATCCTTTTCTCTTAAAAACATACTGAAATATTTATGGATGAAATGGTATAAATTTTGAGATCAAAAGTTTGCATCAAGACAATCTGACATGGGGCAGAGTGTGATCAGAGGAGACAATGTTGAAGCTATATTATAAGTATATCAGGTTCACTGTACTACTTTCTCTAAATCGATGTGCTTGGAATTTCTCAGAGTCAAAAATTTTTAAAGTAACCCTTTATGGACACCGATTAAGAACAAAAGAAAGTCCAATCCTGGACTGGCCCAAAGCAACCTGTTCAGTTTTTTCTAACTCTTATTCCCTACATACGGTGCTCTAGTTCAACAGAACTGCTGGTTAATTTCCAAACACACATGAAGATAGTGCACCTTGCACATGTTGGTTCCCCTTATTTGTTATCATACTAATTTCACCTAAAAATTCTACTCATCCATTAGGGCACAGGTCAAATACGAACTACCCATTCACTCATTTGTCTATATGCACCACTGTTCTAGGTTCTAAGAATCTAAGAGTGCACAGGACAAGGTAACTGCATTCATTCTAATGATGCGGATTTGGGGGGGGAGGGGGTAAGAATAAATTGGTACTCTGTAGTCTATGGAGAGGGGATAGTTTAAGAGGTCAGGGAAGTCCTTGGTGGGGTGACATTTGAGCTTTGAGTTGAATGACTCAAAGATATCACTAAAGATCTGAGGAAAGTACTCTTTAAACACAGGAAGAATAAACAATAGGTCTTGACAAGCATGCACTTGGCATATCTAAAGAACAGGGAAAAATCACCAGGTTAGATTTCAGTAAGCGGGGGTAAGAGCAGGAGATGAGTTCAGAATTAGGGTCATCTAGGCCCTGCAAAGGATTTAGGATTTTATTCTAAGTTCCATGGCAAGCCATTAGATAAAATGACCCTGTAATATGACCATGTGTCCTGTCTGGTCTCCAGTCTCATCTTATGCACCTTCTTTGCTTGACTCTCCCATTTTGCTTCTCTCAGTTCCTCAAACATAAGATTTTCCCTCCACCACAGGGCCCTGCCACTTGCTTCCTCTGTCTGGTTTTTGTTTCTTTGTTTTTTTTTTGTTTTTTTTTTTTGGGGGGGTTGTCTTCCCTGCACCAAACCTCTCTACAAATCAGCCCCAATTTACTCTAGCTCTCCTTCTCAGAAAGCATTCCACGCTTGACTTCCCTTCCCCCTAGATGAGGTTGGGATCTTTTATTATAGGCTCTCCAAGTAGGGTCTTATCCCATAGAACACTCATTTCAGTGTGTAATTATTTACTCTTTTTTGTGATTACTTGATTAACATCTACCACCCCCAATAGACAATGAGCTCTATGAATGCAAGTACTTCACAAATTTTTGCTTATCATTGGCACCCTAGTATTCAGCACAATACTTAGCACAGTACATAGGTACTCAATAAATGTTTACTGAAAGAAAGAAAAAGAAGGTTATAAAGACATTTCATTAGAATATTTCAATCTTTCTCTATGCCAGGACCAAGAACAGTCCCCAATGGTGATTCTCAATCTTGGCTAGCCACTAAATTCCTAGGAATACTGTTGCCCAGGACCTGTAGTTGGTCCATTAAGTCAGAATCCCCAATATGTAGAGCCTGGGCATCAGTATTTTGAAAAGCATCTATGTATGTTCAGTGTGCAGCAAAGTTAAAAACCACTGTTCTAAATAAATTCCATTTGGTCTTCATTTTCCCAGCTTGCTCATATTACAAGAAGTTTTAACAAATACCCAGCAGAAATCTAGAAAAACCTCAGCTATGACAGGGCTCCACTTCCAAATTGGAACTGGTTTTGGTCTGCCACAGCCTCACCATGGCTTCTCCTAGCACGCAGGGTTTCCTTTGTAGGGCTCACAGGTAGTTGTTAAGGAACTCGTTCCAGGTCACAGGGTGATTCAGTAGAACCTTACCCATTAGCCACATCGGTCTCCTCTTTTAATCCAGAGCCTTTCACCTCACTGCACTGCAGCACTGTCATACTTACCTGTTTGGTAAATGGGTAGCAGCTGAAGTGAATGCAACTTGGCATCATCGGGCAAAATATAGGATGAAATATCAGGAGCAAAACGTCTGTGGGTTTAAAAAGAAAAAAAGAAAAGAGGGTGAGATCTTATTTCCATGTTCTGTAAGCAGGTAAATATATATTAAATGCTGGTGAACAACAAGCTTTCTAATACCTATAGAGCAGGTGCTGAACATGAAAATATTTTATTTTTTCATCAGATAATCCTATTGTCTCCAGTGTAACAGATACTCCACACTGTTCACTTTTTTCACCAAGAAGTTCCATAGGCTTTTGGCAGATTACAAAATCATCTGATTCAAGTTGCAAAGTTTCATTACTGGTGCCTTAAAAAGTAAGATTTAAGAAGAGTTTAATAATTCCAAATACTACTCGAATAAAAATTATATTTCAAAGCATTTCCCCCACCAATTTAGACATAAGATTTTATTTATTTAAAGACATAAACATCTCCTATATTCACAAGACCCTATGGTTTTGAAAAGTCATAATCTAGTTCATTTATTACTCACAATTGATAAAGTACAGCATGTTATTATAATCAATCCTTTATACATGAGGAAACTGAAAATCAGATATATATATCTATAAACTGGAACTAAAAACTCAAGTAACACTTCTTTTATTGATAAATATGTTTGTTTGTTTTAAGATTTATTTATTTATACAAGCACTGGGTACAGTCAGAAGCACGGGAGGGTGAGAGAACACACCAGAGCCAGAGTGGGGAACAGAACAGGCAGACTGAAGAAATACACTGCTGAGGGGAGCAGCGGGAGAGACAGGAGAGGTCTGCTGTGCCATGCGGGACCCTCGCCAGAGGCCAGGGATCAAACCGGCGCTGTAGAGGCTGCGGGCAGCTTCGCAGCCCAGCGCTCAATCACTGTGCCACCAGGGGAGGCCCGATAAATATATGTTAAAATGCAATTACATACTACAGAATCAGATGTGGGCAGCCGGATCATAAACCTTAATCCCATGTATAAGGAATAACTAAATATACATATTATTGGAATGACAATTTATGTGACATCAGAGATTGCCAGAAGTAAGGATTTTCTCTACACCTGAAACAAGAAAACTAAATTCAAAACTTACCTTGTGTCTGTTTCACTGAATTGTTGGTCTTATGTGGACGGTGGGTAACATTCTCTCCATCTTTGGGATCTGACTCCAGTTTTAGGATTAAGACTTCTAAGTCTGACATAACAGCGGCATATCCAACACAAAAAGATATTTCAACAGGAGTGATATTATCTATGTGTATTATTAAAGAATGTTCAAAGTCCAATATTGAGAATTCTTCATTAATGATCTGATACTTTAGAGTAAATAAGACTAACTTATTTGTGCAGCCAACAAGAAGGTCTCCTTTCACAGGGCAGCAAGAAATGCTCAAAGGGTTCTCAGAGAGCGGCATTTCAACAATAGACAGCTGGTCTCTGAAGCTTTCACTGAAGGGTGCCTCCACATTATGTCCAACCATTCGGATACACACTCGAGAGTTCTCAGTCCTTTTACTTCTGCAGTTCACATAAGCACGGAGAAACCTAGCTTTGTTTTTCTCTTCAATTGCTACTAAATAGTCTCCTGAAAAGAAAGATTATACTTAGAATTTGTAATTGGAAACAACTACTTACCTATGTTATTAAATGATTAGTGAATCCTAAGGAATGATTAAGTTAAATATTGTTACACTGTGTTCCCCAGGAAAGGGGGAGGTTCCAGGTTCCCTGTCCCATCCAATGGAGGGCAGAGGTGAGCAGGAAGGAAAAGAAGCTGGAGAGAAGCCTGGGAAAAGGAAGGAAGCAGGATACAGAGCAAAAAGACTTGAAGGAGGCACATGGAGCAGAAAGACATGTGAAGCTGTGCTGGCTTCTTGGTCCTGGACTGGTTGAAACAGATGTGGTGAAAGAACGGTGGGGAGGTTAACAATGGCCGCTTTTATCTTGATTTTGATTTTGCTCTTTTCCTTCCAGACCTGTCTGACTGTTTCCTACCCTTTTCTGTGGGTTCCCATTGGAAGGTACTGTAGACTTGTACTGTAGACTTGTACTGTAGACTTGCTTGTACAGCTTTCAGGCCGTACTTGGCACCAACCCTGTTTGGCTGGACATTTACCAACGAGGGGATAGGTAACTTTGGGTGATTGATTTGGAAACTATATTCTTTGTCTTTTCTGTATTGAACACTAATTGTATTAAAGTTCCTTTCCATTAAAGGTCTTACATGTTTTGTCTTGACGCAGAAGGTGACAGAACCTATTTAAAGCGGGCAGGTTTGGGTGACATGGGGTGCCCTTTTCCCTGTCCTAAACAGACTGACTAAATAAAACCCTAAATAATGTAATCTAAGGTACATTTTTAACTGACATTAGATGTTTAGGTTCTGAAACACATTTTTCCCAATTTAAGTGTCTTAATATAATGCATTAATTATTTGTGTAGAAATTCTACGTTTTATTCCTTATATTAGCTCTAAATGTTTTCAATAGCTCTAAATTCAAGTTTCAATAAAGCTCTCCTGACATAAGAGTTCAATAGTATTAGTGTGACTCTAAAATTAGGTCTAAATTAAGGAACTCTAAAAAGTTTGGCAAAATGTACATCGAAATACCTCCCAAAACTCACATCTTCAAGTCAATTTTGACAAATAACACAAAACAGTACATATTTTTTAAAAATGTAAACCTATGGTAAATTCCTTTTAATTGTTGATTATATTAGCTTTTTCAAATTACAAAAATAATTTGGCATTTACTTTTTGTTGTGAGAAGTCAAAGTGGTAAAGAAATGCAAAATGAAAAGCATAATGATCTCCCTGCTGCAGCCCCTTCCCTGCGAAGCCAATGTTCACACACCCAGTATCTGTGAGTCCTTTTATATCTTTATCCAATACAAAAATCAGAGGGATATTTTCTTTTACTAAAAAGAAATCAACATAAATATATTTAACTATCTGCAACTTTTAAAAATCACCAATAAATCTTTCCCTCCAGGTCAACAGAATAACAATATCTGAATAATATCCTGTATTTGTATGTGCCATTCTTTATTCAACAATTCCTCTGGGCCTCCTTGGTGGCCCAAGGGGTTAAGCAACGCACTATGAAGCAATCCGCAACCTCTACAGCACAAGTTCGATCCCCGGCCCACCAGGGAGCAAACCACATGGCAAAGCAGACTTCTCCTGTCTTGCCAGCTGCTCCCCTCAGCAATGTATTTCAGTCAGTCTGCCTGTTCTGTGCCCCACTCTGTCTCTGGTAAATCCTCTCATCCCCCCATCTCTGGCCTGTGCCCCAGCTCTTGTATGTATAAAAAAATAAATCTTAAAAAAAATAATTCTTCTATTTCTATTAATAGACATGCAAGTATTTCCAGGGTGTTTTTGATTGTTTGGCTGGGTTTTTCCTGTTTGTTTGTTTGTTTGTTTTTATCACTGAATGCTTAAACAATTAGGATTATATCTACATATTTATGGTAGTAAATCTTAAATTCATCTGCAGGGGATATATTCCAAGACCCCCAAGGTAAGCCTGAAATCAGGAATAGCACTGAATCCTAATATACTATGTTTTCTCCTATACATACATATGACAAAGTTTATAAAATTAGAGATTTACAATAACTAACAGTAAATAGATGAATTATAATATACTGTAATAAAAGTTATGTGATGGGCCTCCCCGATGGTGCAGCAGTTGAGCACTGGGTTGCGAAGCTGCCCGCGGCCTCTGCGGCGCCAGTTAGATCCCTGGCTGCTCCCCGGCCACCGGAGGAGGGTCCCGCATGGCGCGCAGACCTCTCCTGCCGCCTGCTGCTCCCCTCAGCAGTGTACTTCTGTCCTTCTGCCTGTTCTGCTCCCGGCTCTGGCTCTGGTGAATTCTCTCACCCTCCTGCGCTTCTGACTGTACCCAGTGCTTGTATAAACAAACAAACAAATAATAAATAAATAGATAAATAAATAAATGAATAAATAAGTAAATCTTTAAAAAAAAGTTATGTGAATGTGGTCTCACATTATCTTATTGTACATAATATTTTCAGACAGTGGTTGATTGTAACTGAAACCACAGAAAGCAAAACCTCATGTAACTGTAATTACTCTATTTAGTGGGAGTTTGTTTCAACAGCACAGACTGCAAATTAGAATGCTGGGCCAAAGGGCAAGTGTGCTTTAAATTTTAATAGCTATTGCCAGATTACTACAGCAGTTACTTATCAGAAATTCATGTTGCCAGAAGCACGGTTTGAACATTCCTATTTCCCGACATCCTCAATGGCACTGACGCCATGTGATGGGAAAATACAGACTTTCATGGTTATTATCATTTACTTTTCCCAGATCACTTATAGAGCTGGTCATCTCTCTCTTATGTTTATCGATCACATAGTTTCTCTTCTGAAAATTATCCATTAGGTTGTTTGATGTGATCTTTTTATCAAGGAATAACAGTTCTCTGAGTAAAAGTGACATGACTCCTTTGTTGACTATGAATAGCAAATCAATTTTAGTAGTCTACTGTTTGGCTTTGGGCTTTGCTTATGTAGTTAAATCTGTATCTTTTTCCATATGGCTTCAGAGTTTCCTATCTTTTTTAAACAGTCACAGATGTCCTCTAAATTACATAAATATACTCATATATATTCTATTTTAGTGGTTTTTATTTCACTTTTAATCTTTAGAACTTTGGGAGTGTGGAGTGGACTAAATCAGGGTTTTTACACATGCAAAGCATATTACATATTAACATTATTAAGTAAACCAGCCCTTCTCCAATGAGCTGACATTGAAACACTGCTGCAAGCATACTAATAGCAGACATGTACCACATACATGTGCAGCAAGTAAGCAGCCACAGGTCATTTCCACAGATACCCACTGTGTTGGCCCAGTTCACTTCTCCAAATTGAGCCAGTTTGGAGGGACAGGGCTTCTTCCTATACTGCTTCTATTGGTGCAAGAGATGGGATCTGCACTTGCTCTCTCCTGAGCTCTGGTAGAATGCCTGAACATACCTTGCAGGCCCTTAAGTTTGCCCACTCTGTTCTAGAGAATCAGTCTGGATGGAAAAAAGTCAAAAGACACTTTTGAAGTCTCCCTCTTCCTAGAACTATCCCAGAACATTTTGTGGTTAATGTTGTTAATTTCTTATTTTGGTAAAAAATATATAACAATAAAACCTACATATTAAGTATATAATTCAGTGACATCATGTACCATTCACATTGTTGTGCAATTATCATCATCCTTCTCCAGAACTCCCTAATTTTCCCAAAACTCTGCACTCATTAAACAGTAACTCCCAACCCTCCTTAGCCCCAGAATGGAAACTGCCATTCTACTTTCTGATTGACTATTTGACTATTCTGCGTACCCTATATTAACCAAATCATGCAATATCAGCCCATGTCAAGGTTCACTCGTATTGCATGTGTCAGAATTTTATCCTTTTCTAAGGCTGAATGATAATCTGTTGTACGCATATATCACACTTTGTTTACCTATTCATTTGTCAATAAACGATTGAGTTGCTTTCACATTTTGGCTCTCATGAAAAAAAACGCTGCTATGAACACTGATGCGCAAATATCTGCACAAGTCCTTGTTATCAATTATTTTGTATCTATACCTAGAAGTGAAATGCTATATCATATAGTAATCCCATATTTAATATTTTGAAGAACCATACTGTTTCCCAAAACAACGCTAGCATTTTACATTTCCACCAGCAACATAGAATGTTTCCAATTAATCCTTATCCTCACCAACACTGGTTATTTTCTGTATTTTTGACATATCCATTTTTTTTTTGTAAGTTTATGATTTTTTTTTTAAAAGACTTATTTATTTATACAAGCACTGGGTATAGTCAGAAGTGCAGGAGGGTAAGAGAATTCACCAGAGCCAGAGGGGAGAGCAGAGCAGGCAGACTGACAAAGTACACTGCTGAGGGGAGCAGCGGGTGCCAGGAGAGGTCTGCGTGCCATGTGGGACCCTCACCAGTGGCCAGGGATCAAACAGGTGCTGCAGAGGCTGCAGGCAGCTTGGGAACCCAGTGCTCAATCACTGCGCCACCAGGGAGGTCCTGGAATGGTTCTTTATATATTTTGGATATTTTCATATCCGTGATTTCCAATTTCTCCCACTATGTGCATTGCCCTTTCAATCTGTTTACAATTAATGTTCTTTGATGCACAAGTTTCATTTTGATATCCATTTTATTTTTTCTTTTGTTGCCCATGCTTTGGTGTCATATTCAAAAGTGAATGAATTTTAAATCTAAGAGTATTGAGCCTCCCCTGGTGGCGCAGGTGGTAGAGATCAGGGCTGTGAAGCTGTCCGCAGCCTCTGCAGCGCGGGCTCGATCCCCGCCTGCTTGCGAGAATCCTACATGGTACTGGCAGACCTCTCCTGTCTCACCGGCCTGCTGCTCCCCTCAGCAGTGTATTTCAGTCAGTCTGCCTGTTCTGTTCCCTACTCTCCACTCTGTCTCTGGTGAATCCTCTCACCCTCCCTTGCATCTGGCCTGTACCCCGGTTCTTGTATGTATGAATAAATGGATCTTTAAAAAAATAAATAAATAAATCTAAGAGTATTTGGTTACAACAAAAGCTTCTAAATTGTCACATCTATATGTCTAAATCATTGATAAATCTATATATCAACTGCTTATATATCTGCAAACTGTAGACAGTACCCATGTTGTGTTGTAAATTTTCAAATTAATAACTTGTTTTATAAATAATGAACTAGACTTGCAAAGTATGATCAGAGCTTAAGCATTCTCTCAATTAATGCTCCAACAGCCTTCCAATATACAGTAAGTTCTCATCTTGGTCCACAGGTTCTTAGAAACTTTGACTTTAAACAAAATAATATGTAACAAAACCAGGTCCCTAAATAAGTCCATTCAAGGAAATACATAATTTAGTCACCTGTTGTACAGATAATCCCCTCCATTTTTTAGATCAGGAATGCAAGACTCGTAAAAGCTAAGTAACTTACCTGAGACAACACAGCCAACGAATGATGGCACTAGAACTTAAACTCTCCTGGGTAGCACAAAACTGGTGTTCAATTCACCAATAATGCTGCCTTTCTCAAATGTTAAAAGGAAGATATAAGTCTAGGTGATTCTTTGGAGGTCATACAGCCCTCCACAAGAGAAAGGGATTGAACTTTTAAAGCATTATGTGGCCAATGCTTTATTTTCCTTATTTTACAATAGCTTCGATTTTCACTAATTAAATATCAGTCTCATATTTACTCTTAACCTGAGAGTCACTGATATTTAAAAATACGCAATCTTTTCCTTTTACTTAGCAGGATCACATCTGGTTAATGCTAACACCAGACAGAAAAGACTGCATTCCCATGACAAAATGGACATCAGAGGCAAAGTTATTTTTTTAAAGATTTATTTATTTATGCATACAAGAACTAGGGTACAGGTCAGATGTGTGGGAGGTGAGAGGATTCACCAGAGACAGAGTGGGGAACAGAACAGGCAGACTGACTGAAATACACTGCTGAAGGGAGCAGTGGGCGAGACAGGAGAGGTCTGCTGCGCCATGTGGGTCACCTCCCTGGCTGGCCTGGGATAGAACTCATGCTACAGAGGCTGTAGACAGCTTCACAATACTGTGCTTAATCCCTTGCGCCACAAGGGAGGCAGAGGCAAAATTAATATTCACTGCATCAAAATATGCTTCATTACTTTAGAAAAGCTGAAGGGGGGTAGGGTTTGGGGGTAACTGGGGGTGGGGATTATGGAATAGACTAGGGCTGTTTAATACACTTGTGCTGAGGACAGGTGATGAGGGCCATGTGGTCTTGCACACCCCATCCTGCCAGTTCTAGAGACCTAAACACAAGTGTCCAGCATCAGAGCTCCTCACAGAGCATTCAACCCTTGCCACCAGGCCTTTCTTCTAATGAGCACTGAGTGCTCTTATTTCCTCCTTCTACCATCATACACAAAACTTAAATTAAGTTTCCCTTACCGATGATGATCCCATCCTTCAGAATGTCTACCTGGCTTTTCTCCTAACATTCCCCAATTATATAAAAAGAGAATAGCAATCCCATTAATTAGAGATAAAACAAACAGAATTGTTTTCTGCTTGGGTACAACTGCAAAGCATTTATAGTAAATATGAAAGGCTGACAGAAGATTCATTCTGTTTTTGACAGTGGAAGATCTGCTACAGAGGAAGACACAGGGAGCTTAGAACAGAAATTCTCATGGCCAAATTAATGAGAGCAGGAGAAAGAAGACCAAAAGGAAAACTCTGAGAAGCAGAAAAGAGTTGTCTGGATATCAGTATAGCTAGGAAGTGTGGATTAATAGCACTCCCCAGGGTTAAGTTCAAGCGTTCAAGCCTAGGACTGAAAGCCACCCCTTGAGCTATTATGATCCAAGCTAATGTCATACCACATGATTCCTGAACATTCTTTAAGGCAGACAACTGGATTACAAAAACATCTTTGTTTTTAACGGCTTTACTAATGAGGTTACCATTCTACTCAATGTGTACAGCAGCCAGTATGGTTTTAGGTCAGCAGTCCTGTCCTGGCTAAATATTAGACACACCCCATGCCAGGTCACACCGCAAGAAACTGACATTATTTCTCTGAGTGTAGTTCAGATGTTTTTTAATGCTCCCTGGGTAACTCTTATGCACAAATAGTGGCACCCGGGGATCTAAAGAATCAACACTACTGACAGGCAAGAGATCTAGAGATTTACATAATGCCTGCCACTTCCAAGTCTAGAGTAAATGTCCATTTGGAAGAAAATCATGTAAACATGAGGTCTGTCTGTCTCTCCCATACACACAAACAAGTTTGCCACTCAGTAAGAACTTGATAGTTGGAACTCCTGGGCCTAAAAAAGGGGTGAATGGGAAAAACCAACAATATTGTGAAAAGATTAAAAATTTCCTAAGATATACCAAAATCATAATTTTCTGCTAAAAGAGAACTTACAGATCTTATAAATGGTTTTCAAGCAGGTTTATGGACCAATACAGGCCCCTGTTGCTGCCTTTACTAGTCAAAAGAAAAAAACAATGGCAACATAGTAAGTTGCTCAGAAGGCAAAGACACCAGTGTGTTTTCTCATATAAATAATGGTGATAGTAAACAGTAGGGCTTTTCATTGTTTTAAATACGTATCTCTACCTGATAAAAATGAACAGTCAGATAATACATATGGTGAATTTTACTGACCCACACAATTCCAATGTCTAATCAATGATCTAGCAACTCAACTTACTTTTTCTTTTATTGAAATTGAAACTGAAATCCATAGCTCTACACACTCACATCTAGCCAGCTACAGAATAGAAATTAGCCATAGCTCTTAATACTCCAAGTTAAATACTTCAGTCAAGGATTTTTTTCCACCATAAATAGATTCATTTACAGTTTTACCCCCCTCTTGGGGGAAAAAAAAAAATCAAACTAAGTGCATTACTAGGCTGTTAAAAGAATGCTTCGATGAAACCTTCTGTCTCATGAAAAGCACCTATTTTTAAATGCTGCATTTTTCTAAAATAGAAATCCACTAGAACTCCTTCATACTGTTTCACATTTCTGGTGAAAGAACAGAGAGTACTGCTACACCTGTTTGGGGCGTAGTAAAGGTCCAAAATCCAAGTTCCACCTTAATCAGATTTAAAAGTCAGCATAGATGTTAGGTTTCAAAAATGGACAGGAAGTAGACAGAAGCAGCATAAATGTAAAAGGACTGGCTATGAGTTGGGTAAATGTTGACGCTAGAGATTCGGGATAGTATTCTTCCTACTTTTCTATGTGTTTGAAATGTCCGGTACTAAAAGAGCTTTTTAAGTGGTTTAAGAGTCTGGGCTGAGTCACCTCACGCAGTCACCTAACCACGCCTGGCAAGCACAGCCTGCCGGCCCACGAGAGGCGGGCTCACGCCGCGGTTGCCAGGACAACCGCACGCCCCGCCGGGCTCCGAAACCAGCCGCGCCGCCCCGGGAGACCTCTCGGTAGTTCCGGGAGGCACGAATTCCCTACCCACCCAGAGCGGCCGCCCCCCAGGCCGAGGCCCCAAGCCAGGACCCCAGTGCCCCCTCGCCCGCCCGCTACTCACCCGCCGCGCAGTAGGCCAGGCGCAGCACGCGGCCCAGCGTGGAAAAAGTGCACTGGGACCGGCACAGCCCCTGGGCGTCGACAGCGAACACCTCCACCTTGCAGCCCGCCGCCACGAACAGCGCGTCGCGCCCTCCGCCGCAGAACGTCTCGGGCTCCTGCTTGCAGGGCACCACCTGCTGCGACCCGAACGGGTGCAGGTTGTACAGTTGCACCATCCCGGAGACGGGCTGCGGCCCGCCGGGCGGGCGCCTGGAGACCCCGCGCCGGCCGCGGAGGCAGGACCACTTCCGCGAGCAGCCGGGCCGGACCCAGTCACGTGACCGCCAGCCCCGCCCGCCGGCGGCTCCGCTTCTTAAAGAGGCGGGTGGCGAGGAGAGGTCACGCCACTTTCGGACCGACCCCCCTCCACCCCGGATCCGCCGGCCCCGGGGCCCCGCGGCGCTGTGCTGGCCGGGCTCAACGCTCAGCTGATCGCCCCCGCCGAGACTGCTACGTCCTTCCCCTGGTATTTTCACACTACCGCTTTGGTTCCTGCGGGATGCTTAGGCCTTTCAGTGCGTTTTAACACTTCATTATCAGCTCTCTGATACTATTTCGAGCTTGCTTTGGGGGACATTGCTAAGTCTCCCTTATTGCTCAGAAACTCCTGGAGGGTGGGGCTGTAAAAACAAGTGAGGTGCACAGGGCTCCACTAGGGGGTAAAGACGCCAGAGATGCTCAGAAATACTGAAAATGCTAGAATGGTTTAGTTGAAAAGAGTTACATCGAGAATGTATGGGGGGGGGGGAGCATGCTGTATGAGAGAATCCACTATCAGACCTAACACTTCTGTAATCTGTGCCCTGTATCTATTCTTGACGTCTCAAGGTGGAGTTCATGATAGCAAACCCAGTTTTTATGCAGATTTAGCTGAAGTGAGCATTGTGGCCACTCTTTCTAAATCATCCAGAAAATATGTAAGGCAAGTATAGATTATGGGATGCTGCCTTCCTTTTAGCGCACAGGTACAGAACTGAAAAAGAAAGATCAAAATGTCCTCCTGTCACTCTCATGAGGCATTCCTTCCAAGAAATTACAAAGTAGGTGCAACTAGATTGAAGTTAAACCATTCCCTGTATCCTCCACATGAATTAAGTACTCCTAAGAAATATACTTCATACCACTAGTAGGATCTTTGTGTACAAGGGTTTCATCAAACTCAGGCTAAGTAGAAGACATATGGGATGCTCTGCATAGCCAGATACAGCATATATAAGGCTTTGATAGAAAACAAACAACCTAATATTCCACAACCCATTTGCTTTATATATCCATTTGCTCATTCTACAATACCTCCACAAATATCTGTCATATCATCCTTTTTTGATCAATTTTCTCCTTCAAGAAAAATTTTGTACTACATTAAAATTTTAAGTCTAAAATTATTATTATATTTTCACCTGCTTAAAAAATGGTCTATTTTGGAGAAAGAGGTTACGATTTGCTCAAAGGACAATGATCAATTCTAGGTATAGCCACCTCTCTTACTACAAGTTTATCTTTATCCAGCTTATTTAAGATTCTTAGGGAATAGACATGTTAGCTAAGGGAAGGTAGGGGGTATGCCTGGTTTCCATGTCAGGAGCTACAAGTAAGAGTTTCCCACTTGCCAGCACAGCAGTGGACACAGCATGATTTCCTTATGGGAAGCTATGTTCATTTGCTAGGGCTGCCATGACAAATAGCACAGACGGGATTGCTTAACAGAAAATTTATCTCTCACCATTCTGGAGACTAGAATGTCCAAAATCAAGGTACCAGCATAATCGGCTTAGTGTACTCTTTGGAGTTGCAGACTGCTGACTTCTTGCTGGGCACTCACTCACTGGAAGGAGGTAAAGAACTCTGGGGGATCTCTTCAAAAGAACACTAATCCCATTTATGAGGGCTGCAGCTCTTGAACTAATCACCTCCCTTAGAGTACCCCTCCTAATACCATCAACTTGAACATTAGGATTTCAACATATGAATTTGGGGATGGGAGCTGGGTAACAAAACACTCAAACCATAACAGCCACCTTCTCCCTGTGTCCTCACACTGTCTTTCCTGTAGCATCCCAGGGATTTCTTCCTTTTCTTACAAGAATAATAACCATATGGATTTGTGCCCCCTCTCCCCCATGAACTCAACCTTAATACCTCTTTAAAAGTTGTATCTTCAAATTCAGTGACATTCTGAGGTACTGGGAATTAGGGCTTCGACATAAGGCTATAGGAAGGAGGGAATAGGGTATAATTCAGCCCATCACAGAGGCACTTAAGGTTGGCACTTTGGTTGAAAAGGGGTGTCTTAAGGACTTTTAAAAGCTTTATTTGCCTGGAAGGCTGAAGGAGATTATATGAGTATAAAACTTCTTCCACACAGAAGTTATATCACAGCTAGAGGTGGCTACAAAGATAGTTTTCCAAAAACATGGATAAGAAGCTATATTCAGCCAGTCTAGAAAACAGTTCTGGATCCCTGGGACAGTGGTTCTCGATCCTATTTATGAAGTACCCCAGGATATCTACATTGATCTTAAGAGAGTGAATTTTTTTATTACTATAGAAAGCACTTCATGAAAAAAGTCACAAAAATTAAATATATAGAGTGAAGCAATTCCTCAAAGATTTTTCAACCATTATACCTTGAGGATGAGAAAAGTGGGAATGGAAGGGCATTCCTATTATAGGAAACTGCACATACACGCTATATGACTAATGATCTGTCTTCTTTAAACTAAAACGCTGGCTTTGAACAGAGATTCCTGCCCCGATGACACCTGCATAAGTGCCAGATATTGACACCATCCGAAATTAACCAAGCAGACCAGGATGTACCAAATTCGAGATAACCAGGAGGCTGATAACTCTGGGGGCTGAACATGATGTATGCCAAGGACATCAACTCTGACAGGCTATTCTGATGAACTGTTTGCTTATGACTGTTTTTGTTTAACTCATTATAAAAAGCCCAGCTCGAGATGAGATGGCAGAACAGTCTGTTCTCACAGATCAATGGCCAGCGATCTGGGAAAGAAAAGTGCTTATAAGTTCATTTCCTGTCTCTGCTTACTGGCTTTTTGATAGTGAGATGCAGCAAAACCCAGGTGTAACACTATCAGCAAAAACAGTAACACTATCAGCTCTGCCTTTAGAATATATCCAGAATATATCCACTTTTCACAATGTCATTGCTACCATCCCAATCCATGTCACCATCATATCTTGACTAGGCTATTGCAAAAGCCTCCTAACATGTTTTCCTGCAGCATTGTTGCTCACACTCCCCACACGCCACCCCCCCCCCATGGTCTGTTGTCATAGTGCAGCCAGAGTAACTTTAACATATGTATAACACTTCCTCTTCCCTTCTTTCTCTTCCCTTTCCAGCTATCAACAACTCAATCCTAAAATTCACAGGTAGGACAGAGTAAGGTTAAGTCCACCATAATGGGGGAAGGTGACAGGGGGAAAGTCCAAATGGGGTGAGGGCATCCATGGTATGGGTAGCCTAGAGTGGGAGTCAGAATCCGAGAATCATGAAGAGGGCATCCCCACCAGGGGCACTAGCATGATGTGTCAACACCAGATTATAGTGAGGATTGTATCTATGCAGGATAGAGAGAGCTCCATACATAGAGTGGGCTGGTGTGAGGTGTCAGAGGCTGAGAAAGGTGAAGAGAATGTTAATCAGTGGGAGGGTGGCACAGCATGGGATATCTGAGTCAAAGGGGATGATGGGGAAGAGGGTTTTCATGTGACAGAGGCAGCCTGGCATGTGGCTTGATCAATTCAGTAAATATATTATGAATAATGGAAGGCAAGAGTATATATGATCACAGAAAGGGAGGGTGCTAGAATCTATCAGCTTTTTTTTCTTCTAAAGATTTATTTATTTATAAAAGAGCTGGGGTACAGGCCAGAGGCGCAGGAGGGTGAGAGAATTCACCAGAGACAGAGAGGGGAACCAAACAGGCACACGGACCAAGACACTTCTGAGAGGAGCAGCGGGCGAGGCAGGAGAGTTCTGCTGCGCCGTGTGGGAATCTCCCTGGCCAGACGGAATCAAACCCGCGCTGCAGAGGCTGTGAACAGCTTCACAGCGCAGTGCTCAACCCACTGTGCCACGTGGGAGGCCCCAATCTATCAGCTTTGAGAAAAATAGAAATTGTCTATAGTGATAGGATGCCATAAGAAGAGGGGCCTCCCTGGTGGGGCTGGCGGTTGAGCACAGCACTGTGAAGCCGTCTGCAACCTCTGCAGTGAGCAGTGCAAGTTTTATCCCGGCCAGCCACGGAGATACCAACATGGTGCAGCAGACCTCTCCTATCTCGCCCACTGCTCCCCTCAGCAGTGTATTTCAGTCAGTCTGCCTGTTCTGTTCCCCGCTCTGTCTCTGGTGAATCCTCTCACCCTCCTGCACATCTGGCCTGTACCCCAGTTCTTGTATGCATAAATAAATCAATCTTTAAAAAAAATAAAGCATTCATTTCTATGGTATTCTTACCAATATTGCATAAGTTGAATCAAATAATAAGGAAATATCAAACAAATTCAATTTGAAGAAGAGACTCAAAAAAACAGGCCTGATAGAATATCTTTAGGGCAGTGTATGCTACTATTCTGTGACAGATTCTGCATGCCACTATAAATTTGTCCAAACCCAAGGAGATGTACCACACCAAGAGTGAATCTTAACGTAAATTATGAAGTCTGGATGACATGTTGTGGCAAAAATACCACTCTGGTGGGGAGGATGTTGTGGGGCATGTGTGGGGGCAGGGAATGGGTAGTGTTAAAAAAAAAAAAAAAAAAGCAAACAACATGACAAGCCTCACGAAGATTTAATCCCTAGCCTAACTGCAGTTCCAGTCTCTCTCAAAAGTGGAATTTTAAACCAATTAATCTGGAATTTCCTGGTTAGCACTAGTGATAAAATTCATTATAAAATACCCCTGCTTTGAGGTTAGGGTCTCAGTGCTATCAAGCTATGGGCAGCCAGTGCAGCACGAATTAGATCCCTGGCCAGGATACTGGCCCACATGGCACAGCAGACCTCTCCTATTGCCCACTGCTATTTTCAGCAGTGTATTTTGGTGGATCCCCTGTTCTGCTCCCTACTCTCTGGTGAACCCTCTTACTCCCCCCACACTTCTGGCCTACACCCAAGTTCTTCTATGGATAAATAAATAAATCTTTAAAAAAAATAATCCCCCCTGCTTTCCCCTAAGGGAAA